GGAGAGCACGAGCAAAAGAGAGAGACACACTGTGACTCCTGTGATTCTTACTGCTTCATGAAGCTGTTTCCCAGGATGCGTTCTGAGTCCAATTGTGGCCCTTGATGGATGTGCAGGAGGGGCACTGTCTGTGCACAGATACCTCCTGTGCTGAGAAATCAGCCTTCTCAGCAGTACTCATCTTCCTGGGTCCCTCTAAATTGTGGGATTTGTTACTGCCATTGCTTTTCTACAGCGCTGCTGCGTTGCTCACTTCCTTATAAACCTTTCTGATGTGCATAGGAGACAGTTAGCCCTAGGATGGGATCAGAATACTTCGTGTCATGTAGATCCATGTCATGAAGACAGAGGTCTGTGTTGATGACATGCTGTGCTGAAACAAAACCTGTCCTGGCCCAGAGGTTTCGACAGTCATGGTGTTGCATACTGAGGATGAGGCAGTAGATGTTAAAGGAAAATCTCTTCTCAGGCTCTGCTTTCTCTCTGACCTAATGGCCAGCAAAATCGAAGGCAAGATATATTTTCTGATCTGTGTCAGTAGTAGACATGGTGAAATCTACTGGTCCCCTGGCCCAGACAGGTTACAGGGGGGCTAAGCTAGACGAAGCAGTCGCCTAATTTAGGGAGCTCATTTTCACTGGCCCTTCAATGGTGTGAGGAGCTCTGCTGAGACAATGTCCAGCTGCAGATGTCCTAGCATTAGCTTTTCTTAACGCCTCTCTCCCTCCAGGAGTTACTGCCTGAAGTCCAGGCAGGGCAACAGGCTCCTTGAATGCTTCCGTATCCTCTGCCGTGCGAGGTGAGTTTGCACCAGCTTCGGCGGGGGTTACGTTGAGGCAGTGCCTCCTTCGAAAAGGCGGCTCAGGGATGTGCCCGCTCTGTTTGAACACCCCGACTGCGGGCTGCAGCCACCAGCAGAGCATCAGACTAAATGGCTGGTCAATACCCTAAACCAGCGAAATGAAAAGGCCTCAGAAAATGCCTTAGAGAAGCGTGGCCCTGACTTTTCTTATTATTATTCTTTTTAGCTTTTGATCTCTATTTTTTGGTTTTCTAGTTGAAGTGCATTTTACTGATGCCATGGAGCACAAGGTGCTGTAAACAGGATGATGTTACTCTCAATGTGGACAATGAACATTTTTATCAATATTCTTGCAGTGGGCCAACTACAGAGTCTTCTCATTCCCATTCTTTTTCATCTGAGCAGAGGGAGTGTGCACAGCTGTCAGGGAAAAATTTCAGGGAAAAATTTCAGGGGAGCTGAAATTGGTGGCTGCATACCAGGTAGTTAAGGAGTTAGGTTTAGCAAAACTGCAAACACTCAACATTTATCATTCACTATCAGTGTTTCCTGTTTCCACTGGCAAGCAAATCGATGGGGGACCTGAGATAGCCTCAACTCCAGCACCTCTTCCCAGGCACCATCCTGCACAGCACACACTCCCAGATGTGATGTGATGATGCAGCTGTACAGACTGGCCGGGCCCTTCTTCTGAGTAAGGAATCTCATCACCTTGCTGTTGCAGTGAGGAGCTGGTATATTTGAGAGAAAGTACCACCAGAGATTTTGCCACCTGTCAGTAAAACGTGCTAAAGCTTGTTAGCCAGCAGCCATGAGGGTAACTGTGAATGTTTCATAATTGTTGAACAAAGTACCGAGCACAGCATCAAGTACTCAGTGCCACTTTGGAGACTTTTCACCAGATTGTGTGGTTGTGCAGAATTTGCTAAGAGCTAGGCTCTAGTGTTCAGTGTAATTACAGGCATTAAAGCCAGTTGCATAAAATCCTCATTTAAGAGAACAGCCTGTGCTGAAGATTTATTTTGCTTAAACAATTGCAATAAACAGCACTTCTCCTCAGTTATTTCCAAGGTTCAGCACAGGCATTTGGAAAAGAGGTGGTAGGTCAAATAAAAGGGCAGAAGCACACGGACTCCAGTTGGGATCGAGCTGAATTTTCAGAGGCCTCTGCAACAATGGCTTAGCCTTGTTCTGTAAGATTGGCTGGCGCAAGGACTGCTCTGGAATAGAAGATAGTGCATTAACAGCGCTTTCATTGTAAGCATAATTATTCTGGGAAAGCTTTCCTTACAGAAAGCGTGCAACCTCTGAATGGACACGACTAAATTAAAGTCACACAGTTTTGCTGCTATAATGGCATTACTGCTGGAAGCATCCGTATAGTAATATAAATCACACCCCTCACCTTCCTGACCCACATAATTATCCTAGTAGAGGCCATCATAGCTGTGCTGAAAGAGCAAAATCCTGTTAGCCCCTGGGCTCAACTTATTCCTAATAGGGAATTTTTAAAGGCTGAGAAATCTGATCCAATTAGCACGTTCTTGATTTTGCAGAGTACCGTGCTAATTACATGCAACCAGTCATTGCTGGGTTAATTAAACATTCGTAAAAAAAAACCCCTACATCACTAATCTAATTAGCAATTACTACAGCTGTCATTACCTCTTTTCACCTACTTTTAAGCTGTGCAAATTCACACTAAGAATCTGGTCCTGCAAACTCCTTGCATGAATAGCTGCCTCTGACTGCAATAATGCTTCAGCACACAGAAAGAGCTTGAAAAATTAGGCTGAATGTGTTACAGTCCACAATATAGCTTCAGTTCTGCCATCCATAGGTGCAAAAGTCACAGTTTAGCAGTCAAAATTATAAGACTGGGAGATTTTTCTTTTAAAGTGACTTGTGATCTTACTAGGAGTGCATGCAGGTCCTGCCTTTAAGTGGTTCTCTGCAAGTACCAAACCTAAAATGTAGTTGCATTTAAGAAAAAAATGAAAACACAGACGAACATTCTGATATGTCCACACAGCTTTAAAACATAAGTAGTTAGGAGCCTGAGATGGTTTAGCTTTTTCAGATTAAAAAATGATGTTGGGAATAAAGAAAAAAAAAGTTGGGAACTTTCATGCTTTGTGTGCTTTTCATCCTTAGGCTGTACGCAATGTACTGATGACTGTACACAATGACTCCCAGAGGTTTGATAAAGTGCTGGGGTTTGAACCTTGTGGTAAGGCAGGGAGTTGTTTCTTAGCTTTTCCACTTGCACTCAGCATGCTTTAACGAAGCACCAGTCGTTAGGGCTGACCATGCAATTGGACGTGCCCCGTGAGGAGGAAACTCTGCTGAAAAAAGCAGGAGCCATACTCTGTTCTCTGAAACTATGTGGTTGCTGGTTGGTGCTACTTTGCCTGTTGGAAAAGCTTTTCTCACTTTGTGCGTGACCCGAGCCCACTTGTGCTCCACACAGCCTTACGTGTGAAGGTAAATTTCTGAATCTGAGTTCTAGTTCATTTCACTAGCATCCTGAGGATATCGATCAGCATTATAAAGCTAGAATAAATATTAAGTTAAAATAAGTATTTTCTTTATTGCATTCAACGCAGGGATAAGATCTTAACAGCTTGTTTCTTGGAATGACATCATATGCTATGCCAAAACATACACAGCTTGCTTAGTCTAAAAGGACAAAGAGAAGGCTTCGTTCGAATACACAATTTTTATTATTTAAAAACAGGTTTATATATAGTGAGAGATGACTAGAGACTAATCTTCAGTTTGCTGACTGCGAGTGACCTGCAGAAGCAAACAGCTATTGCAGCAGTTCAGATGCTGTATCAGAAGATCATTCACAAGCAATTTTCAGCAAATATTAAACATGGGCCTTGCACTCCAAAGCCATGCTGAATGTATTTTTTGAGAGGATATTAAGACACTTCTGGTCACAGCACAGTTCAAATACAAGGAATCGTTTACCCATCCCATGGATTGACCAGCTGTATCAATACTGATTTCCAATACCCAAAGAGAAGCTGTGGATAGTTTTAACAATAGGGGCCCAGGTCTGAGTCTGGCAGTAACAGAGGAGCAGATTCCCAGAGGAGTAAAGGAGCTGGATTAGAAATAGGCTGAAGTCTAATTGCCGGAAGCTGATTACTATCTGGTGTGCCAGGTCTGCAAGACAAATCCAGGAAAAAGCAGCTGGAGAGAGCAGAGAAGCCAGCAGTTTTGACTAACAGCCACTGGTGCTGTGTTGGTGAGCACTGGACTCAGACATTTCCTAGCAGAGAGTTTTCTTGGCTGTTCCTGTAAAGCTATACAGGTATTGCCACGCTGATAAAATCCTGCAGATTTTCTGTCAGACAAACGCCTTTTCTGCTTTAGTTTAAGTGTTGAGAACATTACTTAATCTTGGAGTCACTAACATTCAAATTCATCAGACTGGAAAGCGTGCATTAAATAATTTAAATAATAACAATACATTCATTTATGTTGTTTTCCGTGGGAGTATACAATTTTTTTTTTTTTCTCCTACTATGTAACACTTTCAGAAAAAGAAAAACAAAACCTGCAGAGCAAATGCAGGCATGTAGAAGAAGAGTAAGTCATTTCTATGGCAAAATATTCTTTGCAACCACTATCTAAGTGTGTAAATTGTGAAGTATATTAGTTTTCACTGGATAATGAACTCCAGCTGGGAGCAATCAGAATGACCTTAACTAGTCATAGCTTTCTATCTGCCTTATGTCCATTTATACGTTACACTCTCCAGTGACTATCTTGATGTAAAAGTAGACCTGTTCTTGCAGGGAAGAGACTAAAGCCTCATCTGTGTTGCCACTATGCAAGCAAAGGCCATGTAAACCAGCCAATACATTAGGGTTTTGCACAGATAAGTCACGCTGCTTCTTCAGCTGTTGTTTACTAGCATCCTAGAAACAGAGATAAGAAGGGTGAAAAATTTGTTAAAGCAAGAATTCTACACATAAGCCTAGTAATTTCATCTCCATTTCTTTAACAGCTGCAAGGAAACATCTGTTACATTTTAGGTAAAATTATTGTTGAAGCAGAAAAGCAGTTCAAGTAGAAAGTCTACGTGTAATATTTTTGTGTACCAGTGAGGTGAAAGCTTTAGTTTTTTGGTTTCTTTCAATGGCAAATTCTTATGATGAAGGAGTTAAGAGGTACTTTGCACAGTTCAGTTGTGCTCATGTACATTTGCATGCAAGTCTGACAGTAGAGATCCAGTCACAGAGTCTTTAATCTTCTGAGTTTCACATTTACACTCTTCCACTATCATGACTTCTTTGACCACTGGGACAGAACTGGTGCAGTTGAGATCCAAGCGCTTCATGAAGAACTTACTGGGCAAGCAATGAGAACAAAAGGTATAAAGACGATCATCTGGACCAGGAACATGAAAGGAACTACATTTTCCAAAACACAGGTTATTCTGTATCATCACCTTCTCGCAGCTCTCATGAGTAACACTCTGAAATACAAAGCAGTACATGAATGACCCGTGGACTTTGCTAGAAGGCATGAAGGCAAAAAAAGAAACCTAAATACTATATTTTTTCTTCTCAGAACATTTGCTTTAAACATGTTTATCTCAAGCAAGCAGTAAAACATAAGAGCTTTTAAAAGCAAACTTTGAGGCTTCTATGGACAATTCTTAGATTGAATGAAAAAGGCAAAATCTGCTTCGACCTGAGCCTTTGTGAGCTGACAGGGGAAAATCCAATAGGTGAGTTTGTCATATTTACCTTTTAATTGCTTTTTGAGTTCTAAATTTCTGACATGGTTAAGCAGTCTTATACTTTGCAGGACTCAAAACATCATTGTGACCCCACGAACTTGTACATAAATCACAAGCTAGACTCAACTGTAATCTTAAGATTTGTCTCCATGTGGAAGAGGCATAGTGTTCTTTTTTTTTTTTTAAACAAAAATATTAAAAGTACAATGGAAGTTCTGTAATCTCTTGATCTGCAAGAATAACAATGCCTTATATCAGGAGAGTCTATGTCAACTCCCAAGCTGTAAAAAGCTAGTCTGAAGTTAGCACTTTTGTATCGGCATGACTACAGCCATCCTGGAGAAAGCCTGCTGTACTGCATGGCACAAAAAGTAAAACGGTACGAGTTTCTAGACCACATCTGTATTTACATATGTCTGCCAATGAAATAAATCTAGTGAGGGATGTGAAACATGGTCCTTGACCGACCCTGGTTACAGAAACATTGAGAATAGATGTTACATTACAAGGAATACAGCACATTTATCAATACCATTTGCTTGTCTTGATGTTACAATATGGCAGAGTGGCGTCACCCGTGCGTGGGACAATTTACCAGTTCTCCAGCATTCTTAGCACAGAATTAGATGTATGCATCAGTTTTCCAGTTAATACAGCAGAAAGGAATCCTTGCTTAGCTGTAAGAAAACAACCAGCTTCTGCTGTGAATACTTGCCCTGAGACTCTGTGTGTGTGCATATGTGTGCATGTACATACATGTGTATATGCATAGGAAATTCATGTATACAAACTGTTTAGATATATGTTGATTGAACAGATAATTATGCGTCACTGCCCTGCTTGCTCAGGCTAGGTCAGAACGTCTTTGCATAAAAAGTATAAATAACTCTCTGAAAATTGGATGTGTGGCTTTCCAGTGCTGCAATTCAGCAGCTTGCCTCATCAGAATAAAGCTTTTTCAGCCTTTTTTAGCAGTGTTTTTCAGCCGCTTATCACATGTGAGTGTTGTGAAGCAGCCCTGTGGCTTAGCAAATGAACCAACCTGTGTGTCTGTAGTTGCTGATTACAAGAAGCAGGGGAACATGTTTATTGATCTTGGACACCTGTTCTTACCTGGGAAAAAGGCAGGGTTCTGCAGTTTTCTTGGTGCATTTCATTGGTCTTGATTGGCAGGACAACCTCTTCAGATGCTGAATTTTTCTTTAACATGAAGTGGTCCCAAAATTTCTTGGCATCTTTTCTGTAGAGAGGTTCGGCCTCCCTCTTGCTGGAATAGTGGGATGGAGAGAAGTTTTCCACGGGAGAGATCTCTCTGGGTGTAGCCCAGGTTCTCAGGTCTTTGTCTGCGTGGTGTTCTGCATTGGGAAGGATGAATCTGGACATTTTTTTCTCCTCTTGCCTCTCACTTTCAGATGCCGTCTGTGGAATTGCTACAAAAAAGCTTGGTTGTCCCAGGGTTTCCTCAACACCTACTGGCTTTTTCCCTGCCACCTCACGAAAACTCTGACTTTCCAGCAGATTTTTGCGCAGATAGAAGAGGTGCTGGAACGGCCGCCTGCTTTTCCTTTGTGGTGAATCTCCCTGTGGCTCTGCGACTCCCAGACATGAGAGCACTAACAGCTGAAGCAGCAGCAGGGACATGATCCTGGAAAGTGTAACCCTGTAGACCGGCTGCTGTCGTGGTGAACGTAGCACCCTAGCTTTATACGTGAGCCTGGTGTCAGCTTATGGCTGCTGCCCATGTGCAGGGGAGGGGAGGGCTCAGGGCAGACCCCGGTGTGGTTAATTGCATTCATTTGCTGTAGATTACAATTATGATAGGGCAGTTCGTGCTAATGAAACTCTGCTTTCAATCTGGATTATGTGTATTAGAAGTTCCTATCTAAAAATCTAGTAACCCAGGATGGCGTGGGGGACAGGAGGAGTCAACAGGAGGAAATGTTTGGATAAACTGTCTAGTTTAGGCTTAGGAGTTAAGGAAACATTTGAGGTTGTGTATTAGCATGTTCAGTGTGGTCTCCATTGTTTATTTTGACTTTCCATTCCACAAAGCCAAAGACTATCAAAACACAGAACGTTATTTCATCACGACAGCAAAAGGCAAGCTGATTAAAGTTTACTAAAACATGAAGCTAGATCTGGAGATGTCAAATCAGACCATGTTTTCAAAAGTCAAGTCTAGCTTTGGTCTTTCAGATTTGGGATATGACCTGAGGCCTGCAGCAGCACCACTGCAAACTGGCAGACCAGTGCTCGCACACCCAGAGGGGTCTGGCAGAGAGCGCTAGCCCTTGCTTCACCTCTTTCACAGCAGGTTTGCAGCTACTGGAGTGTATAACACTAACCTAGAATAAAGGGTCCCAGGGTGAAGAAAATCTGCACCCCAGATTCTCAAAGATTAACTAACACTGTTCAGGCACCAGAGTCGCTACAGACATCCTGTGAAGTTGGTAAACAAAGTGAAGATTTAAACAAAACATGTTAGAACTGACGTATGATTCTAGACATCAATGTCTCAATCGAAATATCTAAAGACTACTAGACCCTAAACTGGAGATGTCTTTTGCAAATTTATGCTCTGCAACACGTAAGAAAAAAAAATCTGATAAAACATTGAACAGAGGAAAGTTTTGAGAGAAGAAAAAAAATATTTTCAATAAACATTGCCAACATTGATCCTAATCTGAAAATACTAAAAGGAAATTCTACTTCAGATAATTTGCATTTAGATACTGTAATCTCACCACACTCCTGTTCATACCAGAAAGAGCCTGTCAATAAACTCTTAAGTTTGTAGTTAATGTGTTCATTTTTCTTGAAAAACTAAGTGGTCTGTATTAGATGTATAGAGTTACCCGACTGCAGAATTAGTTTACTGCCTGATAACTGTAGTGAAGTAATTGCCTGGTGAGGTGCTGACTTACAACTTTAACACGAAGTTAGTGGAGATCTAGAGCTTTTCCATAATTCACTTGAGTTAAAACTTGTTCTTACCTCGAGGTCCATCTTGAGACAGAAGTGCATAGCACTGCAACAAGAATGGGCTTCATACACCAATATTAGAGTGTGTTTGTGCCTTGACCTCAACGGGATGATCTCTTTAAGGGAGGCAGAGCCATCAAGCACAAGTTTTATTGCTCTGTAACTTCAGCTGAAAGCAATTTAATTCTGCCACTGGTTTAGTGCCTTTCTGAAGTCTCAGGCCTGTTTTGGGAGGGGCAGATTCTCCCACAATTATCAGCAGTGAAATCACAGAAAATACTGTCATCTGCAACAAGATCAGCTGTGAGGTATGCAAGAAAAAAGTCCTTGCATTGTGTTTACACAAGCATGTGCAGTGTTAGGGTGGAGCAACAATGAGTCAAGAGGATTGATTTGATGGTAGATAATTAAATAGCCTAGAAGTGCAGTTTGAATCCTCACATCCTATCTTCATTGGCCGACAAGTTGAACTGAAGCAGTTGACCTTTGGGTCTAAAATTTCTTGTATCTGGTGCACGTTGGTAGTAGTCATTCAAAATTGTTCAGCAAGGATAAAGACATCATAGTTTGAGTTTTCCTTCTTTTTTTACTCTGTATTTTAGTTGCTCATAGAGTTGCAAGACTGGGCTGATACTCACACCTGTGTATTGTATTGTATCATACTGACACAGAAAGGTCTGACACAGTTGGCAATGTATTTCAAACATGATTTGACTGTTTGAAGCAACATATATTTTTGGAGCTCCTTGCCTTAGAATTTTAAAATAGAACTAACTAAAACTGTTTAAAGAAGATGTGGTCTGGATTACGGCAACATAACAGAGGAGTTCTTTCTGTTTGCTCTTTCCTCTTTCAGATATTTTTCACTTCCTTTGCCAGGAAGTTCCTTTTCTCTAAGTCTAGACCAGTGGTATACCAGCTCTTTCTGTTTAAACGTTCCAGCTGTGGTGTTGATCCTGTAATGTCTGTATTTAACTTTATCCATTAATCAAAATTACATTAAATTGCTCACATGTATGTTTACAGAATTGAAAACTAGGTGCCTGAAAGGCCCAATTTACCTCCCTTCAAAGCCTGCTTAAAGAATCTCACCTCCTTCAAGGTGAAAGAAAAAAGACTATTTACCCCAATCTGCCCTGAAAGAAAAAAAAACCACGTATGTCTATGTGTGCAGGTGTATTCTGCCCTTTTTGTCTGATGTGGCTGAGGCATGGTTTGGTGCCCAGATAGCATCTTAGTTTCTGCTGGAGAGTTCTCTCCGTTGCAGCAAGAGTATGAGAAAAATCACTTTATTACTGCTGTTTACAGAGGTTTCTTTCTGCAGCTCTTCACAAAAAATAAATCACCTTGCAAGCAGCAAATATGGTGCAAATGATTTAAGTGTGTCAATGCACAGATAACCGTTAAGTAAATGGCAGTACTGGAATGATTGGGCTGCCCAGACATTTTTCTCTAAACTAAACTGGTCTGGGTTATCGGTGCAGTGCAAATATTAACAAGGAATGTATAAAAACATTAGTATTGGCATATATGTATAGCTGTTAAACTGCTAGTGTTACTTTTGCAGTGCAATGGCACTGAAAAAAAAGCTGTTCAAGATCAGGATCCGTTCATGGTACATACCGTCCTAATCCCGTAACGTTCAGCAAGAAAAATGTACTGCCTTAGAGGGCTTGAGATGTCAGACCACAAAGTACTGATTGCAGAAGGGTGGGATAGAAGCTGAAGCCAAGCGGTGTCAGCAAGTGACTCTGCAAGCCACTCGGCATCCCAAAGGCAGAAACAAAGCGTTCTTCTCCTCTAGGTCAAGCCAGTTCTAGTTCCTGGTTTTTTTGGTTGGTTTTACCTAACATCTGCTTGAGAGTCAAAATGGGCATTCCAGCTCTGGTTCTGCTGGGCCAGTCTCATACTGTTCCTTCATCCCTATGATAGTAAGCTGCGGCTGCTTTCCAAGAGACAAAAGTTGGTAAGAAACGGGACCTGGTACGTCTGGGCACAGTTTGTTCTATGTTTACATATTGCCTAAGTCTGTTTTGGAATCAGCTGCCTGTATATCCGTGTACAGGTAGCAGATCTATCCTCAGCCCCTCAGCTCAGCCAGGAGCCTGCCTGCATTACGGGAAGGCATCCCAGCTCAGCCAGCAAGTTTGGAGGATCATTCCAAAGTTAAAAATAGTAAGTATTTATACCTCCCTTTGTGGTGGCATCAACTGCATAGACTAATAATTGACAGTAGATGTTGGACTGGGCACATAATCATTATGTTCCAAATACAGCTAATCTCAGATTTCTACAAAAAGGATCGCTGTATCTTTTATAAAAATTTGTTTTCCTGCCTGATTACCCTTTCATATAAGCATAGCACATGTTTTCACTGTATTTTGTTTGCTAAATCTTGTGGCTAAATGCAACGGTGCTTTTCAAGCAGGCTTTGATTTGCCTTCATAGTAGCAATTTATTCGGGACATTCTGTTTTCACTAGAAATAGTCACTGTGAATGTTTGCCCATCCTTTTATAACTGTCAGGTCTATAGATGACAAGTGCTATGGAAATGCAAAGTGGTATTATTCATTTGTTGCAGAGCTTTATTCAGTCATTATGGACATAAACTGAGTAATTACTTACACTGCCAGTTGATGCCTAAAAATAATTCTTAGGCAGTGCTTGAATTACTTGCCTTCTGTTGAGCTAAATAGTCTCATCATAGCATGACTGATGATTAAATCATTAAAATGGATTTTATATATTACAGCTCAATTCAATGTCCTATCATTTTCGAAACACATCCTATGTAGAAAAAACTCGTATCCAGATATATCTTTTACGGAACCCATATGAAGACCTCAGAACTAATGAACTAGCACTATGCAGTTTATTCTCCAATTATTGTACTTATCAAAGAAAGCCATCTGTGGTCTTTGTTTTACTGAGTTTCAGGGAAACAGATCACATACAGGCCTCATGGGGAGGTTATAATTATGAAACCAAAAGGCTTTTTACAAGGTATGATATGAAAGAACAGACAATAAATCTGTTCAGTTTTCTACCTTCACCCTCAGATACTGTACCTCATGAGTTCCCCCCTTTGCCATTCAGTGTCAGGTCCTCTGTTGCATTGTTTCTTCCTTCTCTCATTTATACTTTCCTGTTCACATTTCTCTGTTTCTTTTCTCTGTGCTGTAGCCACAGAACTGAGAACAGTCTCAAGTTTTAAACTGCTGCCAAAACATAGATGCTCACCCTTGAAAGCATTGGCGTGCGTTCCCAGCACGGCTAGGGGAAGTGTTGGCCCATGTTGTCGTGACTGTAGGTACGTGCCCAGGATGCAATGGATGGGTTTCTCCCTATTATAATTCTCAGGCTGGTGGATTTTGGACAGATGTCCACCTCCTGAAGCATCTCCTCAATGGTACTGGCACATACGTACTGCCTAATTGAGAGGCTACCCTATTCCAAACCCAGCCTGAAGAGCTCATGTTGGGTCTGCACTTGATTGCTTCAGGTTGTTCAGCTGTGGGACAGTGAGCCAAGGGAGGAAGAGTCTGGGCAAAGAGACTTTTCTGTCTTCAGGAAGACACATCTTTCTCAGATTGCCGTGAATACTTTGAGAGAGCAGTGGTGATTCACTGAAGAGTTTGGCAACACCGAGAAAATGTTT